GCGGTTTGCAAGTATCTTGTTGAGAATTTTTGCATCTATGTTCATTAAGCATATGGGTCTATAGTTTTCTTTATTGGTTGTATCTTTACCTGTTTTTGGTATTACAGTGATGCCAACTTCATTAGAAGGAATTTGGAAGTTCTCCCTCCATTTCTATCTTTTTAAAAAATATTTTATTATTTTTATTTTTATGCACATAAATCTTATGCCTGCATGTATGTAAGTGCACCCGTGTCGGGCAATGCCTGCGGAGGACAGAAGAGGCTTTTGTATCCCCTGGAACTGGAGTTACAGACAGTTGTTAGCTGCCATGTGGGTGCAAGACAAGGTGGGGTAGGGAACTGTTCCTAAGGTCTCCCGGGGAACAGACCAATGTATTGGTTTGGTCTGGGTGTGAGGAATTAGGAAGCAGTGGGGAGTCTGGGCCAAGAAGGGAGTCCAGAGTTCTGGGGTGCCAAGAGAAGAAATGGGCCAGTGGCCACCCCAGGAGGAGAGATGGGGTGGGCAAACTGGGAGGGTGAATGAGGCTGTGGGATTCAAGGCACAGTGGGAAAGGCCGAACTTACCCAGGAAATATGCTGGCCCCAGGAAACTGGGGGCTGGGTTGGCCAGGCATGAAACTGGTCTGAGGCAGGCAAAGGTGAGGTGGGGGAGGAACAGGCCCCAAAACCAAGGTATTGGGTTGGTCTGGGTGCAAATGATCAGGAAGCAGAGGAGAGTTTGGGCCAAGAGGGCAGTCCAGAGGTCTGGAGTTCCAAGAGAAGAAGTGGGACAGTGCCCACACAAGGAGGCTGTTTTTTAAGTTCATCTTCTAGCTGACTACACTGCTAAATTTTATTCATGTCTTAAGGAATCCTGGTGGTCATCTTCAGTCCACATAAGCTCATTTTTTAAAGACAGTCTTCCTTTAGCCCCAGCTGGCTTGGAACTCACTACATAGACCAGGCTGGCCTTGAACTCACAGAAATCTGCCTGCCTCTGCCTCTGGAGTGCTGGAATTAAAGGTGTGCACCACCATGCAGGCCCACATAAGCTCTTTATGTAAGCTTTTCTTTTTGTTTTCCTGAAACAGGGTTACATTCTGTAGACCACGCTGGCTTCAAACTCACAGAGATCTGCGTACTTCTACCTCCCAAAGTGCTTGAAAAAAGGCATGCACCGCTCCCCTTTCAAAATGTGAGATGGAGGGATCAAAGTCCATAGATCAGGGATGCTGGCAAGAGTCTTTACCTGATGAAGTATCATGCTGGCCCTATTTTCTGTTCTAAAACTTTAGAAAGATAATTTGCAATTGCTTGTAGTAGTATTTGCTACTGGGCAGGCCTTACCAATACCTCCATGAGCAAATGAAAGTGCTGTTTTACTGAAGTTAAGTGAGGTGCAAGCCTATGTGACTATTCAGCAGTGGTGATGACTTTTCTGCAATACGGGTCCTTAGTTAAACATCAAACAATAATCCCAAGTAAAAGTGAAGCCTCTGGGTCCAATTTTTACCAGGAAAGAGTAACACTGAGTTGCTGCTATGTGTAGGAGTGTAACTCAGCTCCCATTTGGGACCAACTGACATCAAGAGAGATGTATGCTATCCAGACAACCCCTGACTACTTAGGGAGAAACAGCACAAACAGTAGAATTTGGAGAAGTACACTGTCTGAAACCATGTTTCACCTCAATTAAAGTTGAGTACGTGAAACAAAATTGGGAAGGGCTATTTATTTTGGGGAACTTCAAGAAGTGGCTCTTTTCTCCAAAGAGGCATTCTTTGCTTTACTGGCATGTTCCACCTGACACCAAGGTATGAGTTGGTACATTCTGATGTTTGCCCCACATCCTGGTATCTCACACAGGGCAGCCCTCAACCCTGAATCCAGATTGGTCAGAGGCAGTGCTTTGTGATGTGTCAGCAGTGCTTAGCTTCTGCTGCTTTGGAAGGACTTCACTGGCCAATCAGGGATGAAGGGCGTGGCCCTGCATTGTTCTGAGAGGGTAGAATTGTAGGCGACTCAGAGCCAGACCCATAGGAAGACTCCTTATGGAGCACATCGAGGCGCATGGCTCCCACACAGACCCAACAACCTCCAGTACCCAGGACATGCAGGTGGAGAGACAGCCTGTACAGAAAATGCGGAGGCTACTGGCAAGACTGCAGAACGAGAATCCGAAAAGGATGAAAAGGTGAGAGGACCAGCGCTAAGCATTCCCTCCTCTTCTTCAGCAATTTCCACTCCCTTAGGACCCTGCCCATCCCCAGCTTGGCAAGAATTCCCTCCCTAACCCACACCCCTTCTTACTATGGTTCCTTCCTGTGCGAATCTCTTCCTCTCCCATTGTAATGACCTTGTGTCCTCATTCTGTTATCCTTGCAGGAGTAAAACATGACTAGGGGGAAGAAGAGAGTGAAGAGTGGCCAAAAGGGAAAGACCGTTAACAAGGTTGCTCTGAAAATTGCCATGGCGGCCTCAGGTATCAGCCAGATTGAGTTCTGCTGTGCGCTCAGAACACAGGATCGTAGACAACGCTGAGTCTGGATCTTAGACTCAGAGCACCTGGGAAAGACCTCAGAATGCCCTACGGCGCTACCACATCAGTGGTAGTGGTAATAAACACAATTATATGTTAAAAATTGTGTGTCCTCCTAAGTCTGTAATGGGGTACTGGAGGAAGGTGGGGAAGGGTGGGTGATTGAGAAGAGAGGGGCATTAATTCCTACAGGTTTGGGAGCCCGATGACAGATCCACTGGTAGACAGACAGTGGAGGATCAGGACGTGCTGGCACCCAGCTCTGAAGATGAATTTCCACCTGATGATTTCCTTCACAGGGGAGGATGGAAAGGCCAGAGTGTTTCTTGGTTATCTGCAAGGGACTAGGGGCATGGCCTCAGTGTGTGGATAGGAGAACCTACATGGTGAGGTATGTGGATGGCATTACCAGACCCAGCACCAGCTATACTAGATACCTACTACCTCACGGAGTTTGTTACAGCCCAGGTTTTGATATAATTCAGTAAAGTCCCTCAGAAGAGCCCATGACATCACCCTATTGAAAGGTGCCAATTGTGGGTTTCTGTGTTAATCATCATCTGATGAATAAGAAAACTTCTGGTGAGAGTTTAGAGATGCATTCATCCTATGTGTAGAGGCTGCATTGAATATGTGTCACTTAGGGTTAAGCATCTCACAGACACTTATTCTCTGAATTTGAGCAGTTCAAGAACTCTGTGATAGTCTCCATCTGTTGCAAAAAAAGAAGCTTCTACTGGATCTGGAGGAGATCTAAATACCATCAAATTATATTGTATAGAAATCACAAAAATTCAATAACAAAAATAAAAGGTTTTTTTAAAGATGCAAAATACATCCTCAGAAAATGATTTTAACCCATAAGTAGAACATTGATTAGCCATCCATTTATCAGATTTGGTGTTTGGCAGGATAGTGTGGGTGGTCTGCCTGCAGTGATGGCCATAAAATCAGGACTATTGTCTACATGGAATTTTGAAACTGTGCACCTGCCCTTCCAAATATTCTTACTGTGCATATTTTCCAAAGTTCATTTTCATCTTTGAAAGTAGTTCCATTTTTGAATAGATATTTTGAAAAATCATTAAAATTCAAGGAAATGCACATGCTTACAATGTATAATTTTCTTATGTATACATTTTCCTTATGTATACACTTTTTAAACCATCACAAATATAAAAGTGAACATACCCACAACTCCTCACAGTTTTCTCATGATCTAATATAGTAATATAGCTTCTTCCTTTTTTTGCAATGAAATATTAGCAGTTGCAATCTTCATAGAGATTATTTTAGATGACAGTTTTGTGGGATGAAATACTGAAATTCGACAGCCCCATCTAGTGAACCTCGGGTAAGGACCCCTTTACTGCTTCCTAGTGAGACTGAGGACATCAGCATGGGAGCCTGAGAGGAGAGACAGGGAGAAGGAGAGGGACAGAGATGGCACTGTAAGACAGAAACCAAGAGAGCATTTGCATTGTCTTGGAAATTCTGTCTTGGAAATTCATCCCCTGCCCAGAAACTGTAAGACCTTTGCACTAAGCCTCTTCTGTGGGACGTACAAACCATGCCATGCTTCTTGGCGATTATTTCTTTTCCATCCTCCCTGTGGTGCAGTTCCAGAGAAACACTGACACACTTGCCAACATTGACAATCTCTGTCAATGTTCTAGAAGTTTTTTTATGATGAGGTATAAAGTATGGACACATTTATGGTGTTTTTAATTCTTGAAAAGATCATACCTTCATACAATGTACACTGATCCTACCCATCCTCTACTACCTCCCTCCGACTACCTCTTGTAACCTCCACCTCTCCTTCTTCCCAGCTTCATGCCCTCTTTTTATTTTGTATTTTATTTTTGTTATCAATAACCCCCTCAGTCCAATTATTGCTGCTCATATGTATCTAGGTGTGAAATCATTCACTGGGTAATGAACAGCCTACTAGTGGCCACATCCCTGAAGAAGGAACCATCAGCAACCATCAACTACCAATATCTCTTCCAATAGGGATGGGGCCTCAGCGACCTTCCCCATCCATGCTGGAATTTTGACTGTCTTGATCTTGTGTATATCTTGTGCAGGTAAATCACAGACCCTGTATGTTGTTGCAAGAACCATATTGTGTCCAGAAGTCAGCATCTCGCAGCTCTCCTGCATCCTGCATGTTCTTA